AGGAGTGCAGGGGTGAGGCAGCAGGTGATGGGAGCGCTTGGAAACGGAGGCAGCAGCGTGGCTCCTGGCCGCTGGGCTGCTGGGCTGGGCTCTGCTAGGAAAGTAGCAAATACATCTTAGTCATCTTTGTATGCCCAGAACCAGCACAGTGCTTGGCATAGAGCAGGACCATACAAATATTTAAAAATGGAGATTGGACTTGCAGTTGACATCTGCTAAGGTTTTCTAGACCATCTCAGAACCACCTCGTTGAGAGAGAGACAAAATCGTGTCACAGCATGGAAAGCTTTGAAGTCAAGAGACGCAGATGGAGCTTTGGTTCCGTCACTGTGTGTTCTGTACGACCCGAGCACGTCCCTTAATGTCTATAAGGCCCAATTTATAAAATTCACCCGTAAAAGAGGGCTATTAATACTTTGTCTGCCCGCCCCCTAGGATGTGGTCCAGTTCAGAAAGGCCTGGCGGACGGCAAGCCCGGAGCAAGCCTGCAGCACTGTCCGCGGCGCTGTTTCCGCGGGCGGCCCGGCTGGACGGGGAACCAGATGCGATCTGTTGGCAGGGCAGCCAGTGGCCTGGCTCAGAACAGTGTTGCCAAGTGCTTGGTTGGAAGGGCAAGGCAAGGAGAGACGGGATTATAGACAGGAGAGAACACAACAGGAAGAAGAAGACAAAGACAGCACTTGAGAACTAAGGCTGTGAAAACAAGCCCCAGGGTTCCCTTGCAAGGTGCACAGGGGTACACCTGGAGTGACATCTGGTGAGCACTTGCTGCCTGCCAGGTGCCATGCTAGGTGTTTGCAGGGGTGACTTCCCTTACTCCTCGCAATAACCCTGGGAGAGCACTACTGTCGTTACCCCTTTCACAGATGCGGAAACTGAGGCATGGGGGTCACGAGGGATCTTCATTGTAAGGTCTGAAAGCAATGTAGAGGTTTAAAATTACTTAAATTCATGTAAGTGCAGACACGAGGTATCTCGTGACTGGTCAGCAAGGTGTTAATTGGGCCGAGTTCCTGCTAGTACACAAAGCAGGAGGTGACAATGACCTAGAGAGAGAAGAGAATGTACTTAAAGGCATTTTTGAGTTGTAAGTGCTGAGTGGATGTGGGACGGTGGTGGTGTTGTTTACACAGTCTCTCCTGGTCTCTAGGTAACGCTCCCAGCACAGTGTGGTGAACAATGGGGTCAAGGAGAACCAGCTCTCCTCCTGGGCCTGGGCCTGGAGGCTGGACTCTCTCCCAGAAGGTCTCTAGGGACCGGAAGGGACGGTGGCTGCACAGGCTCCCGGGCCAGCTTTGCTCCCAGCTCTCTGGCCTTAGCCTCCCGCTTGCTCCCAAGGATCAGGTGGTGGGAATGACTGGGGGCTTCCTGGGTCAAGTTCAGGCCAGGCTTAGGGAACCCTGGGGCTGCGGGGTAGATGGCTGAGCCTACACATCCGTCCGGGATCTCAATGTTCCTGCCACTCGATCGCAGCATCTCAGGGCCAGAGGCTCCCTGGGCTTCTTCCATTCCCAGGAGGGTGGCCCCGCATGGATGGAGTTGGACTTGGGTCCTGAGGGCCCCACTCAGTGGATGGCAGCCATGTGCCCTGGCTTCTCAGCTCAGCCCAGCAGCCGCCCACCAGATCTGCAGCCCACAGGTGGGAGGGCTGAGGCTGACCTCACCAAGATGGAGGGGGGAAGACAGAGGAAGGCTGCGTGGGTGGGAGGTTCTGGGGAGCCACGCAAGCAGGAAAGAAAGGCGACCAGGTCCCAGGAGGCAGGCAGCAGCGAGGAAGCTGGGCTGCTGGAGGCCGGGAGGAAAGCCAGGTAAAGAGACCCCAAGAGAGGGAGCAAAGAGGCATGTGGAGGGTTGCAAGGAAAGCAAAGCGCCACCTGGGGAAGACAAGGCAGTGCCAGGAGGGAGGCCCCGCGGCTGGGTGATGCCTGGTTCCCAGGGGCACACTATGGCTGGGCGCTGAGATGGGGAATTAAGTGAGCAGCTTTTGCTAGATGAATGCTCCAGAAGCTGCTCGGCTTTTTAAGGGTTTCTAGCAAGGATTTTAAGGTATTGGAATGGGCGGAGGGAGAGACCCAGGGGTCTCATGGGAGTGAAGGGCATCACCAGAGATGGCATAGACGATGGCTTGGAGTTCCCAAGGGGAGAGACCGCCCTGGACGGGGAGAGGGCAGTGCCAGGAGGAGATGACGGAGGCAGGAGAGATGGATGGCTTCTCCGGGTGCAGAGGAATGGGAGGGGCGCAGGCCCATGGCCCAACCACTGAGGGCCAGGCCTCAGGGAAGGTGGGAGCAAAGGTGTTATTTATTGCAAGGCAGCAGGACAAGGCGAGGCGGGGAGTCTACCCTCCAGACACCCGCTGGGGTGCTGGGCTGGGCTTGGGGACAGACACCCCGCTGGGGTGCTGGGCTGGGGGCAGACATGCTGGCAGGACCGGATGAGGGACTCAGCGGCAGCCACCGCAGTCAGGCCGGATTAATGGAGAGCCAGCAGGAAAAATGGGAGAGGCAGCAGGCTTGGTTCAAGGAAAATGGATGAGGGTTAGCAGCAGCAAGAGCAGCAGATAAAGGGGAGTCATCCAGGGGGGTGGGTGGTCTAGGGGTCCATCCCCAGCTGAGGGTGAGAAGCCACACCTCAGGCCCTGGAAGACTGGTGAGAGCGAGCAGGGCCCGGGAGGGAACAGGCCCCGGGAGGCTGGCAGGAGGAGCCACCGAGGAGGGGCTCCAAGTCAGGGAGGAACCCACACTGATGGGTGTTGGCTGAGCTCACTTGGGCCTGGCGGCGGGTCCTGGGGTCGCCATCTGGGGTTTCCTAGGCCTTCACTGAAGACCGACAGGAAGCACTCGGGATGTCTAGTGGAAGCCCTTCCAACCCAGTCCACGCTGTTGGGCTCAACCACCTAATAAACATGCTCAGAGTCGAAGCATCCAGATCTCTGCTCTGGAACCGACAGAGGTGAACGAGCAGACCACTGTCTAGTAAGAAGGCAGGCCGGCCACTGCCTTTCTGCTGTGTTTCAGGAGCCCCAAGAACCACGCGCTCTCAGCAGCCGGCCCTTCCAAGGGCGATGGTGACCGAGGTGATGTGGGCCGACACTCCTGATGCTCAGCGAACTCTCAACGCTCTCGCAAGCTGCTAAAATAAGAGACCCCTTAGTTAAGGAAGAGAACCCTGGAGACCCCGGCTTGGCGTGGCTCCTCTCCTGTGGTCCCAAGGGCGTCACTCAGACCCACTCCTGCCTTGCAGACCCACCCGGCGATACCCAGTGCTGAGTTGGCGCCTCCTCCGGGCACTCCCTCCAGAAGGGAGGTGAGGGAGAGACTATCAGCATCTCTCCCCCGAGTCCCATCGCTTCCCTGCCTCCAGCACCAACGGGCAGTGGGAGAAGGGACCACAGCACCTCTCTCTGTCCTCCTCTCAAACCCCGGGCCACCCCCAGCCCCGATGGCCCACACGCCACGCTGTTTGCTGACCAGGGCCAGGAGCAGCACGGCCCCGGAGGCACACCCCCTTGTTTAGCAGGGAGGCAGGCTCCTGAGGTTCTGAGCGTGAATTCCAAATGCATCAGCACCTGGGAGACCCGACCTGCAGTTCTTCATGGCTGGCGTTCTACGTCAGCTCACAAAAGATAACACGCTTACAGATTACAGAGCTGGGACAGACCCCTGTACAAACCACCCCAAGAGAAAGTGCCTTCCTTGTTCTCTGGCCGGACGTGGCTCAGGGGTTGAGCATTGACCTATGAACCAGGAGGTCACAGTTCGATTCCCGGTCAGGGCACATGCCCAGGTTGCAGGCTCAATCCCTGATGTGGGGCATGCAGGAGGCAGCCGATCAATGATTCTCTCTCATCATTTTCTCTCTCTCTCTCTCTCTCCCTCTCTCTCTCTCTCTCCCTCTCTGAAACCAATACAAATATATATATTTTTTTTAAAAAGGGGGGACTTTACTGAGCACCAACTACTTGGTCGGCAGGGACCTTGCCCTTGAGGAGCTAGCCAAGCATGTCAAACTCACAGCCAAATGAGGCATGCGGCCCGCTGGCCGCGAGTTTGACATGCTTGAGCTAGACAGACTCAAGGCAAGCATGTAAACATACTAAAACCCCCATAGGACCCGGGCTGGAAAGCTGGACAGATCAGAGGGGGAGCATGAAGAACACACTTCTGAATGTCGTCATCTCTGTGACTTGGGACAGCCTAAGCAACCCAGACACGCTGCGTTCACGCATGTCCGTTTCTGAAACTAATCCGTGAATAGTTCATGAGGAAGCGGAAGGGGATTAGAGAATAACCTACACACGTAGCCTTTGTTCATGAAGAACAAAAATTCTAGAGGCCTGGGATAGTGAAGGCTACCACAGGAATATTCACACCTGAAGGGTTCAACTGCCTGCATCCTTGGGGCTATGAAGTAGACCCTGACACGGAGGCAGGAGTAAGCCTGGCCCACCTTGAGTCAGAGACAGGAGACCCATCTGGGGGGAGGGCCAGGAGAGGCTGGGAAGATCCTGAATCAAAGCAAAGGAGTCTGGACTTGACCCTTCCGTGGGCAGGACGACAGCGTAGGACGTGCTGAGTGGGAACAAGTACAGGAGAATGCACTCGTGTGGACTCTCAAGACTGTGACAGAGGTCTTTAGGGAACAAGTGATCCAGGATCATGGCATCACTGAGCACAGGCGTGTGTGATGACATTATTTTCCCTTCCCGTGCCTCACTTTATTCATCTATAAAATCAGAATAATGGTGTCTGCCTCACACAGATATGAGGATTAGTTAAATTAATACGTAGGAAGCACTTGGAGCAATGCCTAGTGCGTAGTATGTGCTCAGTAAGTGTTAGCTTTCATTGTCATTTCTTTCTTTCGGGTGGGAAGGAGTGGCAAACAATCCACTCTGCTCAGATCAAGTAGAAAAGCAGTCTCAGTGGTTCTTATGTACATATCACACTTCACTCTGCCCGTGGAACAAAGATGTAAATTATTTCAAACAGACACGCATATACTTTAAAATACTGAGTTTATTTAAAAGATCAGCACAGTAAAACTGCCACACAAATAACTTTAAAGCGATCAATGATGAAGACAGACAATCCTATCAATTCAAGTGTACACATTAACTCCTCAAATTAAACCCTTTAATTTCCCTTGAAGCCTTTTTAATTCTGAGGTTATATAAGATTAATCAAGAAACATTAACATTAAACAAAAATCAATTTTGTACAAATAAGTGGGATCAAGCAGCTTAAACCATCACCTGGAACACTTGCACTTCAGAGAAACCCCAGGTGACAACACTCTATAAGCTACAAACAAGATTCACATTATTCCATGGGAACGTCTACATCACTCACTCTTCACATTTTTTTTTTCACAAGCCTCAGGCAAGAAACTGAGGGAACCTTTTCCCAGGCAGTGGCCTTCTTTCCATACACGTTCCTTTTTCTGAATTCAGAGCTTCTGAAAACACAGAAGCTTTTCTCTTGGTAAAATAGGACTTACGAGACGTTCGACGACCAAGCTATTATGGTTCTGAAGTTTCTTCCCTTCTCTGGAGACCCAGAACCAGAGGTCTTCATGTCATTCAAATCGGTTCTCTCCTCCCACCAGGTCTCTCTGGTCTGGAAACACCGACGTGTCTGCCTCGCCAGCGATGGAAGTGAGTTCTGCGCCTCTGACCGGGCACAAGAGGCCAGGCCCACTCCGATGTGCTCAGATCTCCTCTGAATTCAGAGAAAGCTCTGTGTGTCCGAATATGTCCACTGATAGCAAGAGAAGACTTTGAGGAACTCAACATGTGAGAAGCCGCTAGGAACTGCACATGGAGAGATGTGTTGATTGTTGTGACTGACAACTGGTGGCTCCTATTCTCACTGAGCTGCACAGGGCCGAGGTCTGGCAGGAAACCTGACCCGGCTCGCCTCGAGTCCGTAACCCGGTGGGGACAGGTGTCCTGTTGGGAAATCACTCGACATGGAAACGTGAGCCAGGTGAGGGGACCGGACGGTAATTGCACTTTTGTGGGCACTGATCCACCTGTGGGTTCTGAAGCAACTTGAATCCCTGTATGAAATACACCGATCTGTTACTTTTCAAAACATTCTGATCACCAAACTGAGCCAGTGGAGGAATGTGGCAACAGGAAAATTATACATTCAGAAAATATATTGTCATAATCAATTCACGTTTCCTGGGTACTAATCAATGTAACACATCCCACCATAAACCACCAGAACCATTGCCATGATGATGACCTCACTGGCGCGTCCTTCCTCTCCTTGGGCAGCGCCTGGGCCTGGATGGACAGCCTGGGTAAAGACTGGCCGTGCCTAACGCCAAGGGTGGTGCCGCCGCTCCTGCAGTGGCACGGAGCCCCGTGGTGGAGAGCCTTCAGGTGGCAGCCTCTAAGAATTCCGAGGTGAACACAGCTTCCGCGTAGCCTTCGCACACGTCCCGAAGTTCAGCAGTCACGGACCCCAGAGCCTCATCCACCAGCTCCTCTGAAAAGCTGAAGACAAACAACGCAGCTGAAGGCGTGCAGCCAAAGACGGGAGCCTTTCTTCACTCGGCTGGGGAACTCACCAAGTCAATTCTAAGGTTTAAACGGAAATGCAAAAGGCCAAGGACAGCCAAGATACTTCTGAAGGAGAAAGACAAGGTGAGCCTTGCTTTCCTAGATATTAAGCTGATGGCACTTAGAGACCAGAGTCCGGCTGGAGGGAGGGGCCTGAACTACAACCGATGGCCTCACCCTCAGATGGGTGAAGCCAGTGGTGACCAGAAACCAACCAGCTGCAACCCAGTCAACCCAGACCCACGGACAGAAACTGGGCCTGCCTTCTCTACAGGATGGGATGGGGCAGGACACTCAAATTTGTGTTCTCTTTCTCCTTACACACTCACACACACACACACACACACTCACACTCATACATGCACACACAATTTTTTCCAAACTGTTTCAGAGTAAGTTGCAGACTTGACATCACTCAAGTGCTTCATTTATAATTCCTAAATAACCATAATTCTCTTAAATAACCATAATTATAAAAATCACAACATTAACACTATTATCTAATCTCATCTACAGACCTTTTCCAAAGCTTGGTAACTGTCCAAATAATGTCCTTTAAAAGAAAACTCCCCAGCCCAGGATGCCACGCTGGACTTGGCGGTCATGTCTCTTCACTCTCCTGTAGCCTAGAACCGCTCTCCGGCCTTTGTCTTTCAGGACCTCACTTTCTACAGAGTGAGGCCTTTTTTTGTAGAAGGTCCCTCAACCTGAATTTGTCTGATGCTTCCTCACGGGGAGACTCGGGTGACGTTTTTGGAACGGAAGCCACAGAAGGGATCATGTTCCCTGAGGGCTCCTGTCACCCTCTCACTGCTGAGTGAACTGTTACCCTTGGTGACAGTGATGTCTGCCCGGTGTCTCCCCTGTGCAGTACTGTTTCCCCTTTGCAATTAATAAGTATATTGTGGGGAGATCTGTGTGATTATGTAAATATCTTGTTTCTCATCCAACTTATCTGAATCAATTATTACAGGGCTGCCAACACTGAATTTCTAATCTCATCATCCCTTCTCCATTTAGCAGTTGGCATTCCACTGTAATAAAAAGCTTTCCTTCTCCTTTGTTTATGTATGTATGTATGGATGGATGGATGGATGTATTCATTCATTCGTGTAGGCTTGGCCTGGTAGATTCTCATTCAGTAGTTTGTAACTCATTACCATTATTGCTTATTTTGACACTCAGAATGTCCCAGGTTGGCCAGTCGGAGCCCCTTCCAGCTGGCTCCTGGGTGCTCCTGACAGGAGCAGCATTCTCTGCTCTGAACACTTCCCCTGGCACACGATGTTCCAGGCTCCTCCTTCATTTCCCAGCCCCAGGCCCGGAATCAGCCATTTCTCTGAGGAACCCTGGTACCTTTTCATGGAAAATAGTATTTAGAAACAAAGATCTGGTATAAGTGTGCTCACTGCTACTGGTGCCACAGCCAGATAGACTCAGACAGACAGACACACATACTCCATGTGATAGTCTGTATCTATCAAAACTGCAAACTCGTAATACCTCCAATCCCAGTTCACCAGCTGGTTCATTCTAGCCTTCCCCTGGAAACCTTGCTCTCACTATTCACAATATACTTACTGATCTGATCAATCCTAAAATACAGAGAAGTCGTTTAGAACCGTTAACCCATGCACTGTGTATAGAAACCTACTCCCCAGGATCTAGTGTGTGCTTACAGAATTTTCATCTTTAACCAGAGGCACAGAGTCAAAAGACCATGTTCAGAGTCACTCAGACTTGTTCTTCTCCGTCCTGCCCCCTTCAGCATGGACTTGTTATTCACTGGACGTGCAGTCGGGGTCAGGCTCCTGTTTGTATCCAAGTCAGGGCCCCCATCACTGTTAATTTGGATGGATATATAGGAAACATCAACATAGTTCCCAGAATCGGAATTACACAAAAAAGGTAAATGCAGACAAGTGTCACTCACCCTCTCCTGTTACCCATTCCCATGCCAGCCGTTTGCTTACTTTGACCATCTTTTGCCTTTTAATTGGCATGTTTAGTTCTCTTTCATTTAATGTAATTCTGATATACAGGGTGCCCCCCAAATGTATACTCACTTTGAATTATAAAATCAATGTTTATTAACATGAAGTTCAATTTCAAAATTTCAAAGAATCTACAGAAATGAATAATTTTTTTGTCAACGCCTGTTTTCAAACTGATGAGCGTTCTGGTCCAGGCACTGCTGGTAACTCAAAGCAGTGGAATCGCAAACATCAAGAATCATTTCGTTTGGTATATGTGTGCCCTCAATTCATCCTCTGTTGTCGGTTTTGTACCATAAAATTATCTTTTATTAATCCCCATTAAGAAAAAACGTCTAGTGGCACTTAAGGATAAATTTTCTTTGTTTAAAGCTTAGTCTGGCGTCATCCATTATTTCAAATCAGTTAAACCTGAAGAGGAGTGAAAATTAAGTGAGTTACCAGCTGTTAAAGTGTGTATACATTTTTGGGGACACCCAATATTTGAGGTTCTACTATGAAAACACTAAATATTTTCTAGTTGTCTATTTGTTCTCCATTCTTCCTTGCCCTCTTTCAGATATTTTAATTTCTCATTACATTCTTTTCTCGCTATGAACTTGTATTATTCTCTTAGTGGTCACCCTAGATTACAATAAGAACCCCTGACTTAAAGTCTAACACTAACTGATATGCTTGCCATTTTCCCAGAAAATGAAAGATACCTTACAACACCATCTCTATCATCTCCCTGGCTTATGTGCTATTGTTACTGTGTGTTTTAAATGTATGCACACACCCTAAGACAGCAGTTTATTGTTTTATACAGTCAATATTCATTTACCTACACACTGACCTTTTTAACAATTCACACCTTCTTATATTTTTGACCTTTCATCTGTGACTATTTTGCTCTGACTAAAAAAATATCCTTTTAATGCAGTGGTTCTCAACCTTCTGGCCCTTTAAATACAGTTCCTCATGTTGTGACCCCCAACCATAAAATTATTTTCGTTGCTACTTCATAACTGTAATTTTGCTACTGTTATGAATTGTAATGTAAATATCTGATATGCAGGATGGTCTTAGGCGACCCACAGGTTGAGAACCGCTGTTTTAATGTTTCCTACTGTGAAGGTCTACTGGCAATACACTTTTCAGCTGCATAGGAGCCTCCTTACCTTACTTCTTGAAATATAATTCACTGGGCTTAGAACTCTGGGTGGCGAGTTCTCCTGTTTTAGAAATTTAAAAGCCCTAGCCAGTTTGGCTCAGTGGATAGAGTGTCAGCCTTCGGACTGAAGGGTCCCAGGTTCAATTCCAGCCAAGGGCACATACCTGGGTTGCAGGCTCAATCCCCAGTAGGGGGCGTGCAGGAGGCAGCCAATCAATGGTTCTCATCATTGATGTTTCTATCTCTCTCCCTCTTCCTTCCTCTCTGAAATCAATAAAGAAATATATTTTTTTTTTTAAAAGATATACTAGATCTCCCAGCTTCCATGGTCTGTTTTTTCTTTCTTCCTTCAGCTGATTTTAAGATTTCCTCTTCCTCCCTCACCTTCCCTCCGAGATTCCGCACTCTCTTTATCTTTGACTTTTCAACATTACTACGATATGCCTACGTATAGATTTACCTCTTTCTCTAGCTTGGGCCTTTTAGAACTTCCTGCATGTATGGCCTGATGTCTTTGATTCTGTGTCTAATGGGTCTACCGTTCGGAGCTGCTGTAGGACTGTTCTTGTTAGTGTCATCTCTCTGCTACCGCCTGGTTGTTCACCACCATATACCAGGCACTGTGCTTGAAAATTCTAACAATAATATAAGTCCTACGATGCTGTCCTATACATTCAGAGAAAATTCACGTTAGCTTCTGCCTGGTGCCTGGGGGGCAATAACCGGAACCACCTCGATACAATCCGAGGAATGAAGATAATCTGGAGCCATGCAGAGTCCTGAGAGGGCCTCCTGGCACCCAGGTCACTCCCACTTCAGGGTCCTCTCAAGTGAGGCCAGTACTCCCCCATACGGCAGGCCGAGTCCCACCTCTGTCCTCTGACCTGGAAACGCCACCCACGTGCCCCAGGACTGACTCTGCAGCGCCAGACAGGGCTATCCTCCAGGGCTGCTGCTCCACGCGCTGCCCCAGTTATTCCGCGTCACCTGGTTACCTTCTGGTGCCTTCCAGCACGTCCGCTTTATTTTTAACCTAGCGTTTCTATTAAGAGTTATCCTCAGGGGAGAAGTGGTCCCAATTACCAGGTGCGTCATCAAGTGGTCACTTGTTTTTGTATTTGTTTTGCTTTCCATATTCCTACCGTGAATTCTTCTATATTATAAAATCATCATATTAAGAAATACCAAGCTACTCCGAATCCATTCAAACACATTAAATGAAGTATCTGTTTTCTTCTTTTTGTAAAAAAAAAAAAATATATCTTTATTGATTTCAGAGAGGAAACGAGAGGGAGAGATAGAAACATCAACGATGAGAAAGATCGTCTGCCTTCTGCACGCCCCACACTGGGGATCGAGCCTGCAACCTGGGCATGTGCCCTGACCGGGAATCAAACCTAAACCTCCTGGTTCATAGGTCGACGCTCAATCACTGAGCCACACCAGCCAGGTTGTTTTCTTCTTCCTTTTAACCTCCCTCACCCTGCGCCCACTCTGGGAACCACTCCTCCTGGCGCTCTGTCCTTCTACTCCAATCTGGATTGGTTGCTTTCTATGCTCACTGAGATGTTCTCTTGGAAACAGCTTTGGCCATTTTCCTGGAAGGTCCCTGTTGTAGTCTAAGTCTCCTAAGTCCTGCCTTCCTCCTTTTCAACGTGCACCCTGGACTGGTGGCATGCACCCTCCAGGAGCTTAGTGAAAAAGTGCACGGGAACTAGATTTTTGGTCACTGTGCACCCCTGACGTGTCTTTATTTTACCCTTATATTTAGTTGACGATTTAGCTGAGCACAGACTTGAGGCTGAATTCTGGAAGCACACTCTAACACCTGCCAGCAGTGCTGCTCCTGAAACCAAGGTGCCAGTCTCAGTTCTGATTGTTGGAACAGGCCCAGTTTTAAGTCTCGGGAACCTTTTATCATTATTTCCACACACTGGGATGTTCAAATTTCCTTTGCAAAATGATGTGCCATGGTGTGTTCTGTTCTATTCATTTATTCATTTATGTATTCACTCATTCACTAACTTGCAGTGGACAAATGATGAACTCTTCCAATCTAGAGATTAACAGTCTTCTGAGAAGTTTTCTTACAGTATTTCTCTGAATTTTCCCACACCCCATCCCTCTGTTTCCCGTTCTCACATTCTGGAACTCCAATTACACAGATGTTGGACACTATAAACTGAAAATCTGTGTGCCCTCCACCCCATTCATATCTAACAGCCCAATCCTCAAGGTGATGGCATCTGAAGGTGGAACCTTTGGAAGGTAAGTAGGTCCTGAGGGTGGAGCCCTCACGAATGGGATTAGTGCCCTTATGAAAGAGACACGAGAGAGGACCTCGCTGTTGGCCAAGTGAGAATACAGCGAGAGAGGGTCTGTTTGCAAAGCAGGAAGCAGGCCCTTGATCAAGGTGTTAATTTTGTTGTTTAAGCCACTCAGCCTATGGCATTTGCTATGGCAGCCAGAGCTAAGACATTGACAGAATAATCCTCTAACTTTTAAAATATCTTCTTCCCTATTATCCATTCTTGGTGTGTTTTTTCAACTCTACTTCCTGAGAGATCTGACTTTTTCTTTGAATCCTTCTAGTGAGTTTATTTCAGCCATATTTTTTATTTCTAAAAGCTTTTGTTTCATTCTTTGAAAGTTTATTTTTTAATAATATCCTGCTCTGATCCGGCAGGTGTGGCTCAGTTGGTTAAGCATTGTCCCATGCATCAAAAAGTCACTGATTCTATTCCCGGTCAGGGCACATGCCCAGGTTGCAGGTCTGGTCCCAGGTCGAAGTGTGTGCAGGAGGCAGCCAATTAATGTCTCTCTCTCTCTCTCTCTCTCTCTCTCTCTCTCTCCCTTCCTCTCTCTCTAAAATCAATAAAGACATATTTAAAAAATTACTGTTCTTGTTTCATGATGTAATAGCTCCACTTACTTCTCTGGGAATATTAATTTTGTTTTCAATGCTTTATTCTCCTTCCTGCACTGTTTGGCTTCCTCCGAGCTTTTTATGTGTAAGAGGCTGTGCATCTTTCCTGGCTTTCATCAAATGTCTGCTATCTTCAGGAAGGAGCGTTGGAACCACGCCTCCTGTTTCCTGACTTAATTGCACCTATGCCTTACCAGCACCCGGTGCTTCCTGTTCCTGCGCTTTCCCAGGTGTTTCTGCATAAATCAGCTTGGTTCTTGGCTCTCCCTGGTCTGCTAAGTCATCTTATTTGTCTAACTGCTTTATGGCTTCCAAATTTTTATTGCTATTTCTTGTTTGTTCCCATTTAAAGGTTCATGCCTTTTATCTATTCTCTTAGTGACATACAGTTGGGTAGAGATACGGGGTATAAAGATGAATACACATGCTCAGTCTGTCTTTTTCACCCAGAAGTCTCCCGATTTGTTTTTAAACCAGGAACCCTTGAGAGTTTGCTTTCATCAAAAGCATCACATCACCTAAGCCTCTCCTTGCACAGCCACTCTTATTTACATCCAGGTTACATCATCTCCCTTTGAGCACTCAAGCAGTGCTTTTTCCTCAGTGTAAGTAGAAATGGAGATATTACAGAAAAAACATCTAAGATTCCCTCACATAAGAAGCTATTAAGTGAAGTCAACTGTCTTAGGATAATTTTTCAAGGTCTCTCACTTTGGAACACTCAAATCAGAAACAAAACCAAGACTGAAACGGAGCTAAAAAATTCGGATGCACCGTCATGTAAGGGCCAAAGACTGCAGCGGAGAACATTTATAAAGATCCAGACATATTTTAACAGCTCTGGCCTCTACCTGTTAACCTATCATTCCCTATAGGCTGAGAGCTTTCCCTACAGCAACAAGATAACTATGAACAAAGTGTATCATTTATCAGGTGGGAAGAACATACACGGGAGTCTATCTTCCCTGGCTTGTTTTTGGATTTCCCAATATAGCAGTTAGCCTCACCACCCACACAGGCTCTGGGAGAACAAGAGAGCATCTGCAGGACTGTGTTCACACAGAAGCAAGTGAGGTTTGCCTACTCTCCTCCCCACAAAAGACATGGCATCTCTACCAGCACCAAAGGCGCAGGTACTTTAAAGGGCACTGTCTGCTACATTTTTTAATTTCTGATCCTGCCCAGAACTCCACTAGAATAAAAGGACATACACAAATACATCACTCTACAAGGAGAAGAAGAAACAACAGTACATGAGAAATGACCAAGGTTTTCAGGAAGGAAAATGCACATGGAGGAATCCTAACTGACTCGGCAGGACAGAGGGAGCACAGGAAGCTGAAGCACAGGAGTCTGTCCAGGGAGATGCCAAGGGAAGCAAGCTGGTTGTCTCACAAAACAGACTCAGGACCCAGGAATCAGGAATAGGGGGTAAGAGTGCTGAGGACCCTGCAGGCGGAGGGAGGTCTGGGGTGGAAAATGAGGGCCTGGGTTGACATTCTGCAGGATGAGCAGCGAGACTGACAGGTGTCCACCCCTGCTCCCGGCAGCTAAGTGACAATCCCTCCTTCACCCCCACAAATGAAGGTGTAGATTCTTTGGGAAAAACAAACCCGTAATTTTAAACTCAGCCAAGTCATCAATCAAGTACGTCTCCACAGAATAAAGACACTTTCAAGCTGGCAAATCTCAAGAATGTTCCTCCAGTAGACAAAGCAGGATATGCTCCATCGGAGTGAGAGAGAACACCTAGAAAGAGGGCGACAAGGGCACTGGACATAAAGCCTCTGACCTGGGAGGGAGGCGACTGAACACGCAGGGCCATGAAGGAGGAAGTCCCGGAGCAGGAGCCACAGGGCCGACTTAGAGGCAGCCAACCAGGCTGGGGTGGGAGGGGGAGGGCTTCAGGAGAGAGAGTGGGGTGGAGGCGAGAAACAGAGATCAACTGCTACATCTTATCACTGAGGAAAAGGACACTGAGATTTTGGCTAGTGGGTGGGTTAAAGTTCGTAAATATCTAAAAGAATAAGCAAATAAAAAAGAGGCAACTGTTAACTCCTGAGATATGTTTCAAGCTTGTTCAAGAAAGAAATCATCGTATACTGCTTGACTTGATGATGAAAAAATATTTGCATGTTTATAATAAAGTGATATTCAAGAGGAATTTAAATTTGGGCCCAATTTTAAAAGAATGGATTTCAATTAACTATTTACATTAAAAAAATCTTATCTGTTCTTCAAAAATTTAGCAGCAGTAGGACTATGTTTCAGGACTCCACGAAACGACCTCAGAAGGAGAAGGGCTAAAGAGCATGTTGCAAAGCCCGAAGGCCTGCTGCTACAGGCCCGTCTGTCCAACCCGTTTGCCCGTTTGTGGAAGGCTTTGCGACCGCACTGCTTCTGACCCAGGACTGTGTTCTCTGGTGGATGAGCCCTCCCTCCGGCCACAGGAAAGCCCCGCTCTGCCTAAGGAGGGGAGGCCGCAGCACGCTCCCTTGGCGACATCACCCAGGCTGCTCCACAGTCTCTTCTCTCTGGGAAGAGGACGTTCGCAGAGAAACCGGGCCACTAGCCCAAAAGCAACCACTGGAACTCCAAGGCCAAAAGCATGAGACCATGGCCAGTCCTTCCCCAGCCTGTCTGTCGGATAACATTTGGCACGTGGCACGGAACATTTACTGACCTTTCAGCAATCAGCCACGGATTGAAAGAGCCCACGGCCTCATGGGAGACCATCCGGAGGTACTGGTCGTAGCGGCTGCAGTAGTCTCCGATGCTGCGTCGCATTCCGGGGGGGACCAGGAGGGCAGTCCGATCCTTTCTCTGCTCAGAATCTTCTGAAGGAAAGAGAAGGGGAGCCTCTCTTTTCTCCGATTTCTCCTCTGTTCCCACACTATCATCCAGGGAACTGAGAACAAATAAAAATGATGACAACGTTCAAATCACCTGTAAGCAAGGGCAAACTGTTCACCCACCCTCACGGTTTGCCAAAAAGGCTTACTTTCATTTCTCTTTCTCACAATGAACAAAACTCAGCGTTATCACCACTCACTGTTTACCCTCTCCCCTGGAATAACCCTCCACAGGGTAGGAGCTCCTGTCCTGTAGTAATTTTCAGTATAACCACCGCGCCTTCATGATGCTTTCAACAGAAAAATCCAGGCTCTTTAACATGCAACATTTTTCTTCTGTTTTTAATATATATATATTTAATCCTCACCCAAGGATATTTTTCAATTGATTTTTAGAGTGGAAGAGAGAGGGAAAGATAGAAACATTGAGAGAAATACATCGATTGGTTGCCTCCTGCACGCACCCTGACCAGGGCCCAGGCCAGGGAGGAGCCTCCAACTGAGGTACATGCCCTTGACCGGAATCGAACCCGGGACCCTTCAGTCCCCAGGCCAACACTCTATCCACTGAGCCCATCGGCTAGGGCAAGATGCAACAGTTTCTATGCCCATCTTATAAACACGCTACTTTACTGAGCCGTCTTAGAGTTTGGCAAGATCTTGCTCAAAGAATTTCCCTGTGTCTTGTGGGAACTGAAGGAATATGAAACTCATCAACATCTAAGGCAACCAACTGCAATGAGGTCAGTCTCGTTAGCACTTACTTGCCATTCCAGGGCCTTTCCAACATGATGTGCACGTCTGGGTCCTTGCTGGCTACTGTCTTTGTGATCCTGATTGGATGAGGAGAAAGGGGTCCTTCACTTACTGCTGCGAGTTTTTGGTCTAGAAAAGGAGAGGCATCAAATGACTTCATATAAAGGAGAGTCAGTGTACAGACCAGAGCTGTCTCTGTGGCCAACCACCTGTGAGAAGTCACAGGCACCGTCTTTAGCATAATGGGTTTAGCAGGCAGTGCGATGAAGAGAAGAGGTGAATTCAGAAGTTACTGAGACACAGCCGAGGAGGAGTCGCTGTTGAACAGCGAGCTGCTGGAAGCCTCTGCTAGCCCCGAGACGGCGGAAGGAAGTCTGTGCCCAGCCCCAGGCTCGCGGGTTCCGGGACCGAGCTGCTCATTCCAGGGTCTTCAGCAGTTGGGTTTGTTTTTTAACCTTTAAATGGTTTAATTAGGGCGAGGGAAAAACCCACTTACACCTGAGCACTTAATTAGCTGACTTAATTTGTGGCATTGCTGGAAAATCTGCATAATGTGATCGGAACATTAACTTAGTAACTAGACCCTGCAGGCTTGACAGCTCTTTTGAGTTCTGGATTATTTATAATTTTAAATGTATTTCAAGTGTAGGAAGATTTGTCCTTCTCTTAGGTAAGGAGACTCTCTAATTCAGTCAAAGAACTTTAACTCATTTATATGCTTGTGATTTCTCACTGTCAGAAATACTGCAAAAGTCTGTTTTTGTAAAAATAATGCTGAGTACAATCAATTTTTAATTGTTCACAGAAGAGAGGACATACACTTAGACCAGTGATGGCGAACCTTTTGAGCTCGGCATGTCAGCATTTTGAAAAACCCTAACTTAACTCTGGTGCCGTGTCACATATAGAAATTTTTTGGTATTTGCAACCATAGTAAAACAAAGACTTATATTTTTGATATTTATTTTATATATTTAAATGCCATTTAACAAAGAAAAATCAACCAAAAAAAATGAGTTCGTGTGTCCCCTCTGACACGCGTGTCATAGGTTCGCCATCACCGACTTGGACCCTGCACAACCCCAGAGTCACTTTAGGTGTGTGACGCCGCTGAACACACCATCTGACAACTGGAAACAGGGTTCTTTCTATGAGTCCGTGATTCTGGAATTCAAGTGTCTGAAAACCCGTTTTAGCACTTAGTGTTCTAAGGAGCTCCTCTTCACTGTATCCCTAGACTTTATGCAGAGTCATAGACAGTGACTAATAATTCAAGTTACCCTGGGAAAAGGAGGACATGGAGTCCTAGGTAAGACTGCCTTTTGCACGATGCAACCCAACTCTGGGGCCAATGGCCAACCCACCTGTGAAACAAAGCATGCCTCCCTCTGCTTCCACACAAAAAGGCGCCGAAGTGCCCGCCCATTCACTGAGCGGGGTCCTCCTGGGCCAGGCCTGTGCCGGGTGCAGGGGAAGCACAACTGAATTTGACCAACTTGCCGGCCTCAGAGAACCTGTGGCCGAGCTGGGAGAGGAGACCTCGGAACAAACAGCTCTACAATGGCCGACAGGTCGGAGCCCATGGGCACTCACAGGCCTTCGAGGGAGGGAGCCAGGTTCCAGTCCAGGCATCCCAGGCGGAGCACTGCACGCTCGGTCCACGGGGGTCATGTGAGTTGGGCCCCAAGGGTGGTGTCGACTTTTACGAGGATGAAAATGGGAGCGGGATTAGGGTTGGGGTGAAGAGAGAACCAACAGGAGCAAAGAATAGAGCACTTGAAAATGGCAGAAAACATAAAAGGAACAAGTCAGTATTGTGCTTTGATGACTCATCCTTCTGTCAAAATTTGACATGGAGAACACTTTTTCTAAAATGACACCCACCCCAACATATTTTAAAAATATTATATGTGAAGCCCTGGTCTGGTGGTTCAGTTGGTTGGAGCGTTGTCCCGTACACCAAAAGTCTGCAGGTTTGATTCCTGGTCAAGGCACATACCTAGATTGCAGGTTCAGTCCCCAGTCAGAGCACCTATGGAGGCAACAGATCAATGTTTCTCACATCAATGTTTCTCTCCCAAATCAATAAAAACATATCCTCGGGTGAGGATTAAAAAAAATTATATGTGACATAGGCTATTGTTGTAAACCATCTACACCCACAATTTCCTTTACAGCCCTTAGTAATCATCGTACTTAAATTCCTTCAGAGGTAATGTTTAACCACCTTTTATTCACCTCCTTTCATTGAGGAAGGTAGTAACTGATAAGCCTGCATTAAACAGAATTGAAGTAACACTTCCCGGCTAAAACTGTGATAGTAGCCTAGCAACTGCAGCCAAAATTTGTCTGAATGAATTTTTACAAGTGGAGGAGAAAAGGAAAGGTCTTTTCAACAAATGGTATGAGAACAAATGGATATCCATTAAGGAGGAAAAATGAGCCAACCTCTACTTCAAACCACAGGCCAAATTTATTCAAGATGAATCAGACTACACATGAAAGCTAAAACCATAAAGTTTCTAGAAGAAAACAAGACACTCTTCTCAAATTGGGAGTAGGCAAAGGTTTCTTAAATCAAAGAAAGCAAAAATGACACAAGAAAAATGGAAAGTTCGACTTTGTCAAAAGTAAAAGTATCTTCCTATAATAAAACACATTTGAGAAAATAAATATGTGAGCCACAGATGGCGCAAAATATTTGCAAACAGTAAGTAGATCAGTGGCTGCTGGGGGAAGAGAGGGACAGTGGGGAGGGCCTGCAATGGGTACTGTGTTTCTTTTTAGGGTGATTCTTTTGTGTAAAAAGGTTCTAGAATTAGAGAGCAGTGATGTTTGCACAACTTAGTAAATATACTAAAAACTACTAAAAGAATGCATTTTATGGTATGTAAATTATCCTATATAATAAAACCCTAATATGCAAATCGACTGAATGGCTGAATGACCGGTCACTATGATGTGCACTGACCACCAGGGGGCAGACACTCAACGCAGGAGCTGCCCCCTAGTGGTTAGTGCGCCCCCAAAAGGGGAGCGCCGCTCAGCCAGAAGCCAGGTTCACGGCTAGCGAGCGCAGCAGCGGTGGCGGGAGCCTCTCCTGCCTCCGCTGCAGGCAGGCAGTAAGGAGCGAGGGTTCCCAGACTGCGAGAGGGATCCTGGACTGCAAGAGGGTGCAGGTCAGGCTGAGGGACCCCTCAAGTGCGGGCCTCTAGTATCTTAATAAAGTTGTTATTAAAAATAACTATATATGGCAAAGAATGTATACCCAGGATGCATAAAGAATTCCTACAACTCAAAAGTAAGACAACCCATTAGAAAAACGTACAAAAGATTTGAATACTTCACCAGGGAAGATATAAAAGTGGCTAATAGTTACTTGAAAATGTTCTAAACCTCAGTATTCACTATGGAAATGAAATTTAAACGACAATGAGATATCACCACATGCCCGCCAGCATGGTTACAATTAAAGACTGACAACATCAAATGTTCACAAGGATATGGAGCAATAGGGGCTCAATTAGATGGGAGTGTAAATTGGTACAGACACTTTGGGGAAAGGTTTGATAGTTTTTTATAGTTAAGCATACACCTATCCCATGACCTGGCAAACCTACTCTTGGGTGTTTATCCAGGAAGAATAAAAACTTACAGTATGTCCACACAGGCTATGTATGAATATACAGGGTGTTCCAAAAAAATGTATATGTATTTTGAATGATTAGAAAGTCAGTGTTTATTAACATACAATTCATTTTCAAAATTTAAAAGAATATGATTTTTTTTATCAGTGCCTGTTTTCAAATTGATGACTGTTCTGGTCCAGGCACTGCTGATAACACAAAGCAATGGAATCACAAACATCAAGAATGATTTCAGCCCACCAGCGTGGCTCAGTGGTTAAACGTCAAACTGTGAACCAGGAGGTCACAGTCCAATTCCAGGTCAGGGCACATGCCCAGGCTGTGGGCTCAATCCCCAGTGTGGGATGTGCAGGAGGCAGCCGATCAATGATTCTCTCTCATCATTGATGTTTCTCTCTCTTCCTCTCCCTTCCCCTCTGAAATCAATAAAAATAGGGAAAAAAAATCATTTCAGTTCAGTATTTGTGCACCTTCAATTTGTAGACTGTTGCTGGTTTTGTATAGTAAACTTCATCTTTTTTTTTTGTTAATCCTCACTGGAGGATATTTTTCTTATTGATTTTAGAGAGAGTGGAAGGGAGCAGGGAGGGGAGAAGGAGGAGGAGAGAGAAAGAAACATTGATGTGCGAGAGCCACAACAATTGGTTGCCTCCCATGTGTGCCCCATCGGGACAGGGAACCTGCAACCCAGGTATGTGCCCTTGATCGGAATCGAACCCGCAATGCTTAGGTTCAAGGGCTGACTTCTAACCACTGAGCCACGGCAAACTTTATCTTTTATGTATCCCCATAAAAAAAAGTCTAGTGGCACTTTAGGATAAATTTTCTTTATTCAAAGCTTAGTCTGGCTTCATTCATTATATCAAATCAGTTAAACCTGAAAAGGAGTGAAAATTAAGTGAGTTATAAGCTATTAAAGTGTGTATACATTTTTTGGGACATGCTATATTAATAGCAGATTTATTTCTAATAGCTCAAAACTAGAAACAAGCAAATGTAGATGCACAAACAAATGGATAAACTAGATGTGGCACATGCATAAAATGAAATACTACTCAGCGATGAAAAGGAATGAACTGATCCAAGTGTGGTGGGCTGAATAATGGCTTCTCAAGGTGTCCACATTCTAATCCCTGGAACCTGTCAATGTTCCCCTCTATGGCAAGAGGGACTTTAAGGTTCTTGAGATAGGAGAGTGTCCTAGAGGATCGGGGTTGTCCCTAAATGTAACCCAGGTGCCCTATAATAGGCAGTCACAGGAAGATTTAACCACAGAAACAAAGTCTGGAGTAGTGTGGTCATAAGTGAAGGAGCGCAGGCAGCCTTAGAAGCTGCCTACACCTTGACTTCAGGCTTTTAAGGCTTGATTCAGACTCTGACCTCCAGAAGTGAAAGATAATGTGTTTTAAATACTGAAACTGTGCTTTGTTACAAAATTAAATTTGTTACAGTGGCAACAGGAAATGAGCAACATAGATAAGTCTAAAACATCACGCTGAATGAAAGAAGTCTTAGACAAAGAACATATGTAGGCATGATTCCATTTATGTGAGAGTCTAGAACAGGTAACTAATTTACAGTGAGCAAAAAAGCACAATTATTGCTTAGGTCATGGGAACTGACCGGGAAGGAGCATAAGAGAACTTCTGGAGGTGATGTAGTCTATATCAGCGGTTCTCAACCTTTGGGGTTCGAACGACCCTTTCACAGGGGTCGCCTAAGACCATCCGAAAACACATATATGATTGCATATTGTTTTTGTGATTAATCACTATGCTTTAATTATGTTCAATTTATAACAATGAAATTGGGGGTCACCACAACATGAGGAACTGTATTAAAGGGTTGCAGCATTAGGAAGGTTGAGAACCACTGGTCTATATTTTGATAGGCATTTGGATAACAAAGATATGTCCATTTATCAAAACCCATGAAATGACAGTTAAGATTTGTGCATTTTATTATAAGTAAATTTTACCTCAAAAGGAAAAAGAGCCATAAATATTAAACCCTAGTTGCTGATACACAAGTTGAAACGTATAAAAAATAAGGTGAATTGATGGATGGACAGAATATAAATAAAGCAAGCAAATATAGCAACATGTTAATTGTAGAATCTATGAGGTTGGTATATGGGTGTTCACTGTAGAATTTTTTCTGTATGTTCAAAATTTTCAGAATATAATGGTGGGGGAAAAGTGAGGGGAGCACTCACCATTTTTTTCTTCCTGCATCCAAAATTGAGGATCAGAATACACAATTTTATTATATCTTTGGCGAACTGTCTCCTGGTATTTCTTTAAAAAAAAAAGTTTAATTGATGAGAATAAATTAGTTTCATTACAAACCAGAGCTAGCAAGAATGTCATAGCTCAGCAGATACATTTGATACAGACACGTTGCCAGAAATGAGCATCTGCCAGGCCAGGAAGTGATTAGCTTATGAGATGAAGTCTAAAATTGAAGCCATTAATCTAATTAATCTAATCTAGACCAGCACTGCCCACTGGAGCTTGCTGTGAGGATGGAAATCCTATCTAATAAAGAGGGAATATGCAAACTGACCATCATGCCATCACAAAGATGGCTGTGCCCACAGCAGAGGTGGAATTCCCGTAACACAAGATGGCTGCACCCACAGCGGAGTACAAGTTCCCGTAACGAGCCTTAACAAGCAACCAGCAGGGACGTGAGGCTGCGTGGTGCTGGGCCGGGGCAGGGGACCTGAGGATGCACCCCCACCCAGCGGGGCTTGACAGGGACATCAAGGCATGACCCCTGTCCCGGCCCGGGGCACCTCAGGCCACGCCCCCTGCCCTGGCACTGGGCCAGGGGACCTGAGGCTGCGCCCCCTGCCTGGTAGGGGCTTGATGGGGGACTCAGGCCACACCCCCTGACCCAGGCCAGGCGACCTGAGGTCGTGGCCCCCACCCTGTGGGGCTTGAAGGGGTTAGGGCCAGACAGGTCTGGATCTAGCCCAATGGGGGTGGGGTCGGCCGGGTCTGGGTCTTGTGTGATTTTGAGGTGCATGTGGGTGGGCGGGGGGACTTGACTCTGGTTCCCCTAGCACGCCCCAGACTCTGATAGGAGGAAGATTTTCATATACATTTTACTAATTTTCTTTCATCTCTGACACTTCTATTATAGAGAAAGGGCAAATAGCAATATTAAAATATTTCCTCTAATTAATTCCCTTTTAATGTGCACGAATTTCGTGCACCGGGTCACTCGTGTTCTATAGTTGTCGTGCCCAATACAGCAACCACAAACTACTGACCACTTGAAATATGAGTAGTGTGTTTAATCTTAATTAATTTATATTTAAATAGCCACATTTGGCTAGAGACTACCATTGGACACCAGATCTAGACAGTTATTCCCAAGACAGGGAAATCAGTTAAAAGACTAGGAGAAACTACACATCTTTAAATTTTCAAAAAGCAACATAAAATTGTCTTCCTGCGAACATCTTTGTTTAGCAGCAAAGCCATGATGAGATTTAATCATGGTGCAGTTATAAAGAAAACGCTGAACTGGTGTTAGGAGACCGGAACGGAGTCTCATCCCAGCTCTGGTGGGAATTTTTGTGACCTTAGCCACATCATTTACTCCCTATTGGTCTCAATTTCCTGCTCTGAGCAGTCCTGGGATTGGGTTGGGTGATGTCTGAGACTGAAGATTCTGAGAAGCATTCTAAAGTCATATGGTGGAAATTACAGGCAGCAAACGTATCTGTGATATGTCAGGATCCCAGGCCAGCTGGGCAGCAGAGGCAGATGAGCAGCATTTACGAGCTGAGGCCTGAGGAAGCCCATGTCCTGGTGCTTTCGGAACCACATCAGCGATACCAGGGGGTAACGATAACGGTTGCTTGCTGAGGTATGTGTCAGGTAGTAAGCGACTATCAGCACGATGAGGCTTCACGCCATGTTTTATCTTTAAAAGCACCCTACTTATTAGAGAGGATAAGTGGCTTTATCAAGGTCAGACACCTGGTTAGCAGTTGAACTAGAATTTAAAACCAGTGATGTGATTCTAAAGTCCTGCTAATCTACAGAAACGCACGCAGAGGACCTGCTCTCTGCAGGGGCCAG